CTTTTCATAGAATCATAGAATAATAGGACTGGAAGGGACCTCGAGAGGTCATCGAGTCCAGCCCCCCGCCCTCAAGGCAGGATCAAGCTCCGTCTACACCATCCCTGACAGATGTCTATCTAACCTGTTCTTAAATATCTCCAGAGAGGGAGATTCCACCACCTCCCTTGGCAATTTATTCCAATATTTGACCACCCTGACAGTTAGGAATTTTTTCCTAATGTCCAATCTAAACCTCCCTTGCTGCACTTTAAGCCCATTACTCCTTGTCCTGTCCTCAGTAACCAAGAGGAACAAATTTTCTCCTTCTTCCTTGTGACACCCTTTTAGATATTTGAAAGCCGCTATCATGTCCCCCCTTAATCTTCTTTTTTCCAAATTAAACAAGCCCAGTTCATGAAGCCTGGCTTCATAGGTCATGTTCTCTAAACCTTTAATCATTCTTGTCGCTCTTCTCTGTACCCTTTCCAATTTCTCCACATCTTTCTTGAAATGTGGTGCCCAGAACTGGACGCAGTACTCCAGCTGAGGCCTAACTAGTGCAGAGTAGAGCGGCAGAATGACTTCACGAGTTTTGCTTACAACACACCTGTTGATACAACCTGGAATCATATTTGCTTTTTTTGCAACAGCACAAAGTCCACGTGGAGTATGTTGCACCCTGGCTGAGCACCACTTCCAAATGCTGGAAAAACCTTTTAAAAAAAGCAGCAGTATAAGGATTGGGGATAGCAAGTGATGGAGAGGAGGAGAATAGAGAGGGCGGTGCTTCAAGGAAGGGGAGGGCAGTAGATCTTGGCTTGGTCTGTCATTTAAAAAGTGATCTTGGGTGTAAAATGGTTGGAGACCACTGGTCTAGTTAATACTCACTTTGTCATGAATGTAGGAGACTGGACTAGATGACCTCTCAAGGTCCTTTCTAGTCCTGTGATGGTAACTTACTTATTCATAAAATATGTTTAATATGAGTGCTATGGGAGTAAACAAATGTTGTTGATTTAAATTCACTCACCCTCCCTGGAGCAGAGACTGCCAGCTGTTCCTACTTTATTGCATGGCAAGATATAAAAACAAAATGCTCACTCAATAAAAAGCATGCCACATGTTACATTACTTTTTGATTTTTTCAGTTTTGTTCTAAATGTAACTAAATCTAGCTAAAAGCAGAGAATTGATTGTTTACAACTAAAAAGCAGTACAACCAGGCTTTTTCTACTTTAGTTATGTTCATGTTTTTATGGAAAGAGGTGGAATCCAACTACTGCAGTGTTTCTCATTCTAGCGGAGCTTGACTAGGACCAAAAGAAGAATGGTCTTGTGGATAAGACAGCTTCTCGGATAGCTTTGACTTTCTCTAATGAAAATGGCTTTTTTTTATTGCATGCTCTGAATTGAGGAAGGTTCTTCCTTGGACAGTGTTTGATGGGGACAGATGGATGGAGATACAGGAGGTACGGGGTCTGCTAGGCTAGAGCAAGTCAATTTGGGCTTGATTCTGCAAGATGCTGAACTCCCTGGTCCCAATCCAGCAAAGCCATTTAAACACACGATGTATGCGAGTCGTTCCACTGAAATGAGAGCTTCAGTGTTAAAACACTTTTCTGGATCAAGGCTATTCTCCCAGGGATTTCAGATAAAATGAAGTTTTGCATGAGTAGGCTCCTCTCTCTGTGCCTCAGTTTCTCTGTAGAATGGCAATACTGTAGTAATACTCAGGGGGCACTGACAGCCTCCACACGCTCCTGGGAAAGTTGCGGGGGAGGAGGGCAGGCTGGCTACACACTCTTGGAAGGGATGGTGTCTCAAGTGGAAAGGGTGGGACCAGGGGCAGCCAGCCCTGCATGCCACTGCCCCCTGGCCATCAGAGTCACCCAGAGTGTGCAGCATGACATTCCCTCTTCCTGCAGACCCTCAGAGGGAATGAATAGAATGGGCAATCAAGTGACTCATTCCTTGTTGTCCACTCCTAGCTTCTGGCAAACCAATACATACAGATCAATATAATAAAAAAAAAAATCCTACTAGCTTAATTTAGTGTGCTTGTATGTACTAACTTTTGCAATCAGTTAGTAAAAATAACTAACACGTAAAATACTACACTTGAACTTTTCTTTGAAAGAAGAATTGCAGTAGTGGTTGAGGTTAAATTTTATTTGACTTGTATTTTGCACTGTTGTTGTATCCAAGATAGTAGAGAGACAAGGTAGGTGGGGTAATAATTGAGGGATAGTCAGTTTAATTGCATCACCGGGAGTGTCAATTTTTCACATCCCAAATGACCTAATTTCTTAGTGCACACCAATCCTTCCAGTGTCACACTGGAATAGACTGTTTAGCATAAGGAATTGACATGTGTTGCAAGAGATCATTCTAAGTGAACTGAGCAGTTAATACTTGTGGAACACAAAGAAAATCCACGAGTTACAGATTGTCCTAATGTGACATAAATCCAGTGTTTTTATTGGTCCATGATGTTTAGTGTCTAGTAGCAAAGTTATGAATTTAAGCTCCTCGTCTCATTTTTCAAAGAAATTGTGCAGGTTTCCTTTAAGGATGCGAACTGAGAGATTAGATATGAAGTGATCCTTTTGTGAAGTGTTCACCCATGTTTTTGTCTTATTTTTCGGTGTGAATTTGTTCAGCTTGAATTTGTTCATTTATTTGTTGTTGATTTAACAATTATATTTAAAAATTAAAATAACTCTTTAAAAAACCAGTTAATGTTATAAAATGTGAGGTAGGTAACAATTTTTTCCTCGTGAGTTTTCACATAGGCAGTTCGGGAATTCTGGTA